CAGATTCCAGTTTGCATTGGCATGGGCTGCAGAACTTGAATTAATATCCTGAGTAGGTGGCAGCATCAGCACCATGCCAGAATATATTATAAGCTTGCTTTCTTTGTGAACGTGTCTTGATGGATTCTAAGAGATTGTTGTGGCATTTGTCTTGCTAGTGAATAAATCTTTTTGTGACTTTAGAATTTTTAAATTAATTTACGGCTGCCCACCATCTGATGAACTCTTGAGATCTGGAAAGATCAGTATGTAGTTTGCAAAAGAAGGTAAAGGTTTCTGTGAGATTTTAAATCTTCTTTTGAATTGGAGTAAAGCACCCACAGAATTTTCCATAGAAAAAGATATAATGTGCAAAGTTTTGAATAATTATTTCACTGTATTGAAACACTGAAAATTTAAGAAAGAAATCTATTTACATATTAAATTAAAATTTATAACTCTTAGAAAGTGTAATAGTAACATAAATTATTAAACTACAGTGACTCTAGATTCACAAGTTTGGATAAAACCTGGCTCTGCTATTTTAACTGAGTAACCTTGGGAAAACTGTTTAACCCCTTTTAGTTCCCATTTCTTCCTCTTTAAAATGGGAATAATAATGTATATACATACATAATAGTGCTGTGATGATCAAATGAAGTAATTCAGTTAGCACAGCACCTGACACCCATTGTCAGCTATCACAATTGCTTCTCTCCTGGTTGCTACTATCTACTGCTAATTAAATAACTCATCAGTGTTTGGGAACTTCAGGAAGTCTCTATCTTTGAGAATTAGAGTTAAAGTAGTACAGTCCCTTCTGCTGTAACACATGGTTTTTAAATTTGGATTAGCCCATATGCATTTGGTAAATAGGAAAATGCCAGTATAATGTGGAAGTTGGGTCAGTTTATCTGCGACTTTCTCCAGCAATCAGGAAAGCAAGTATTCTCACAGACAGTTTAAGGAAAATAGACGGAAATTCTACTGAAATGCCTTCCTTTAGTAAAAGTAGTGGCTGATTTAGTCGCCTCAAAATCTGTAGCACTTTGTACTATATTAAAACTATATGGAGCAGCTTGTAGTTACAAATGAAGGGGCTATGAAGATATTTTCCCCAGTATCCAAAAAACCCTGCACCTTGGATTCTATTTTTAATTTTGTTGAAATTGTGTACAATGACCTATATCTTAGTGGAGGAAGCATGAGTCCAAAGTTTAAGGAGATAAAAGGTCCACTGACCTTTGTGCTTGGTGCAAAACAAATATCAGTGGAGATTTAGCTGCATTAGTATTTTTATTATGATTGTTACTTTTATTTTTATTTTTTTTGAATGCTCTGGTTACCAAGTTGCATATGTTTTCAGAGTTTTGTCCTTTTTTTTGGTAAACCCTATTATTTTTAGTGTGTAATTTTGTAGAATGTGCTTTTCAACAATGTGGTGAATGTTGCCCAAATTAAAAACATCAACCTATGACAGTTAAGTGTAAGCAGGTGTTGACTGCAGCCATCTGAACAGTAATTATCAACCCGGGGCAGTTTTGATATGCAGGGGACATTAGACAATGTCTGTAGCCTTTTTGGGTTGTCACACAGGTGGTCGTGGTAGAGATGCTGCTGAACATCCTGTAATCCACAGAACAGCCCCACCTCAAAGAGTTAGTGGGCCCAAAGTGTCAATGGTGCTGAGGTTGAGAAACCCTGCTGTAAAGGGTTCTTGGGACATAGTCAGCACTAAATAAATATTAGGTAATATTATTAATTAATTTATGTAATTATAATAATACTTAAATTTTCCAGTAATTTTATGATCTAGTCTATTTTCGTGCTTTTGATTCTGTTTTATTTTTATGCTGGTATAACATTGTTTGATTGATGTTGCTATGTCTTATAATCCCATCCAGTTTAATTAATTTTCTTATTATTCTTTTCATAATAATATTATTTTTGTAATTATGAATTGACTTGGAATTTGGATCATTTTATTGGCTTCCAAGACTAAAATGTATTAATTTTAACCTATTGAGTTACTTGTACAAAAATTATACTCTTAAAATTTTTAATCTTTACTTTTTATTTATATTCAAGTCATCAAGTAATTTCTTTTTATAAACATGCTTTCAACTTTATTTCTTAGCGTTTTACATTTTTACCACAATGAATGTGTTTTTACATTATTGTTTTTTGTTTAGAATGCTATTGAGTTTTTTATATTCACCTTTCATAATTTAATACATTGGTGAGACTTTCGGAACAATATTAAACAAAAATAGTGATAAATGGTATCTTTATATATTTCTGAATTAACTATAACATAAAAAGTATAATATTTTGGTGATTGGTGTAAAGAAAATTAATCATATTTAGAATCAAGAATATTTCCAGTGTTCCAAGAAAAGGCCTATAGGATGACAGTGTCATATAGTCTTTGAACAACATTATGTGCTCTTAAGAGTATATACTGAAGAAGTACTTTATTCATATATTGTAGATATCTTAAAATATAGCTGCAATGTTAGAACACATTTAAAGTCATTGCTGAATCTGTATTTCTTTAAAATTATGAAAGAAAAAAACACATGAAGCAAAAATAAGATACTGTATACAATCAGGCAGTTGGTAAATATATTTACCAACTGCCTGATTGTATATTAGGGAGATCTTCATGAACTGGGCTATTTGATGATGTGTAGGACTTGAGTAGATTATCATAAATGGAAGAGAGAAGTGAGATTATTGCAGTGACTGGAATGAACATGACCAGAACATGGAATTAATAATCTTAGTCCAGTCTCTGGCTTGTACCACAGTTACCAAGACCATTCCAAAGATATCTGCTGGCTTAGCTGAGAATTTAGCTACCAGATTCTAAATAAGTTTATTCAAGAGCTTTTAAAAAGTGCTACTGCGAAGAAGTGATCACATTGTGATATAAATGTAATTATATGGTGAATCCAAAATGGAGAATTCTCGTTTAGTCTGAGTGACTGTTTGATATAGAACATTTCTATATTTATTGTCTTTGTTTTTGTTGCTATTTTTGTTCTCATCTCATGGTATTGTCTGTTTCTTAGGTGTTAGTATAAGTGCATCCAGGAGTGTTTTTTATTGCTTGCAGAGAATTTATTTTAGAATTCTTAACTGAATTCTCTTACTGCTGTGTGCTGCAGAATGGATGGATGGGATTGAAATATATCAATTTTACTGGAATTTTAAAAGTAAATATCAGTTTTACCTTTAAGTTCTGGAGTATATAACAGAAGGGCTTAATACTGAATACCATTCTCATTTTGTCTCGTATTATTTAAAAATAAAGATTTCAAATTTTTATTTTTACCACTACTATTTTCCTTCCTTCCTTCCTTCCTTCCTTCCTTCCTTCCTTCCTTCCTTCCATTCATTTACCATTACTTTTTATCTCACTTAAAATATATTATTTGAAGATACAGGGAAGTGTAATTGTGTCATTCTTCTTTCTCAAGTTTCCTACAATTTGCATATTTTTCTGTTTTTAACTGAGCGTAATGTTGAATGTCTTGGCTCAGCATGCTGAGAATTGTAAACAGAAACAATGAAAAACGAAGTACTTTCAAATACTTTAGAAATCTTTGGCCTGCTACTCTCTGTTCTGCTTGTGCTTCTTTATATTTGGGAAAGTAATTGCTCTCTGGTTACTTGCCTTCAAACAAGGGCAGGATGGGCAAGTCCCCACTTGACAGGAGTGGCTCACCTCGGATGTTGCAGACAAAATGGCTGATTCTGCCCTCCCCCTTTCTCTGTTTAAGCCATTGATGCTGCCCGCTTGCTCCTGTATTGGACTGAACACACAAGAAGCCCATAGCCTGGGTTTGTCAGTTAGCAGGAAATGTTTAACTTCATAGTATGTCAGTCAGTGCAAGGCACTGCCTAATATTATGGATGGAGTGATTCAAAAGCAAAACAAAGCCCAAAACAAAGTCCCCAGCCTAACAGGAAATCCATAGCTGTAAATCAAAATTCCTGTCGACTCCTAAGTCTATTTTCCATTACTGTCCTTTGTCCTGACATTGAATCCTGCTTGATTGTTACATCTCTTTTTGAGATATTCCTAAAACACAGCATCCTACATTATCCTCAGCCCTTACTCACCTCCTGTTTGTTTCTTTTCTATGAATGCCACCACTGTCCATATAGTTTTAAGGCTTGAAATCTACCTGTTGGATACAGGCCTGACATTCCTAAATCTTCTCTCTTTGTTCTCTGTCATCATTGTAAATACCAAGTCTGTCTGTCTTCATCAGGTATCTCTGTAGAACAAATTATATACCATTGCTAAATGTGAGATGTGAAGGTTAGTTCTGGTCTTTCACTTCCCAAGAAGGCAGGGGCTTCTCATTACCTCCCTATTCAGAAAATCTATGCAGTGTCTTCAGTAACATGCTCGTAATCTACTTCTTTTAGCTATCTCTTCTCATCCCGCTTAATGTACTCCTGAGAAAATGAGCTACCTTTCTGTCTATGACATGGCTTTGTTCATGTTCTCATTTCTTATTTTCTTAGTCCTTTTCTTCTGCCAGTGCATTCGTACCTTTTAGTTCTTAGCTAGCTTGAAAGGATTTCTGTAGTCTTCAGAAAGTATACATTATTTTGTGACATTTGTTTTTTTCACTTCTATTATAGTTATTTATGTGTAAGTTTTATCATAGTTTAAGCATCTTGCAGCATGAGTGCTTCTCTCTTTTTTTTTTTTTTCTTTTTTTTTGGTCTTTATATCCCTTAGCATGAAGCTTAGTGACTCACACATAGAGGTACCCAGGAAATACATGTAAATGACTAATTGAAAATGTTATATGGTTAAGGTTTGGTTGTGTTATTATCAGTGTTCACTTTATAGAGTGCTCTACATCTGTTGTCTGAAAGAATGTACTGAAACCATGAACATTTGCCTTACATTTTCAATGCCGTGGTGACTACAGTCACCAGTTGTGCATGACAGTGTGTGTATCTTGTAACAAGACTCTGTTTCCTTTGTTCTCGAACAGGAGAATCAGATGAGAGGGAGCAGTCAAAATTGGAAGTTAAAGTGTGGGACCCAAATAGTCCACTTACAGATCGACAGATTGACCAGTTTTTAGTTGTAGCACGGTGAGTTTGGAACTATTGAGTCAAAAACATCTTTTCTTTATATAAAAGAATTTATATGTATTTCCTTTATATTCTACTTGTTTTTTATTGGTCATATTTTTTTCTAGTTTTGAAATAAAGCCAAATATATATCACACCACTTCCTAAATAATATAGTTTATTATCATTAGTTTTAAAAATGAAAATAGATTTATTAAACTTTACTAATTAAGATTCCACTAATTTATTACTAAATACTCCTTGTATGAATGTAAACAATACAGAAACATATAACGAGGAAATTCAACACTTAAAATCCTATAACTTTAATTAAAGCAGTGAATTTTCAGGTGCCAGTAATAATGCGTGCCTCGAATCCCCCTCACTGCATCCATACCTCCCATGCAATGGGGAGGCCCATTGCTAAGCATCGGGCTTTCCCCTGAGAGATCTAAGCCTGCTGCCTGGCTTACTCACTTCCTCTCTGCCCACCCTCTTTTCCTCTTCTCTTGATAAAATGAATGGGATAAAAATTTATTTTTATTTTTTACTTATAGAAGTAAATGATGTTCATGGGGGAATTGCTGCAAAGTAGAAGGTAAATGAGATTATCATAGCATCGTATTAGTGGAAAAATTGGAAAAACCTAAAAATATGCCAGCAAGCAATTGATGAATGGAGGTAAACTCAATAATGGAATATTACTTGACAACAATTAAAATGAATGAGAGCTATAGGTAAACTCAATAATGGAATATTACTTGACAACAATTAAAATGAATGAGAGCTGTATGTACCAAAGAGATAAATCAAAAATAATGTTGAGTGAGAATACATACACTATGATCACTTATAAAAAGTTTTACAATGTGTGAACAGTGTCTTATTTCTCAATGGGCATATGTATGCATATGCATATTACATATATGTATGAGTTCTGGGACTGTGTATAGGGGGCTATAACAAAATTTAAAATATTTATTTCCTTAAAAAAAAAAAACTTGGCAAAATATTGGAATCAGGTAGATCCAGACATGATTACAAAGGTCTTCATTATGTTCTCTGATTTTCTCTTGAACTTTTTCAAAATGCAGTGGAAAAAGAGCCTTACCCAGTCTTAGACAGCACTGTTCATAGTTCCTGTTACCATGGAAGTTACACATCGTATTGGTGGCTACACATTCTGACTCCAGAGCCCATGTACCTAGCCACTAAATGATTAAATGAAGAGACTTGATGTACATTGCTGGGGAGGAGCAAGTCAGTGGGATAGACAAGATTGAAGATTTAAGAGTAGAAATGAATCATTGGTGGAAACACTGGCCCCCAATTTTGTTCTATTTAGTAGATATTGCAGTGTCAAGATTTGATTATCATTTTCTTTTTTCCTTGATTGCCAAGGGCCATGTGTTTCCTTTTTCCTTGAAGCCAGGATGAGAGGCACCAAGGAGAGTCACCTAGTATCTTGTTTGATTTTTTAAAAATCTAAATATAAATTAAGACCACAATCAAAAAACACTACACATCCCATCAGACTGGTTAAAATGTAAAAACCCACAGTGCCAAGCATTGGTGATAAGGTGGAGCAACCAGCACTCACATCCTACTGGTGGGAGTATGAGTTGGTATAGCTGCTTTGGAAAACTGTTTGCTGTCATCTGACATACATGTACCTTAAGTTTCACTCCTAAATACATATCCACACCTGTGCACCAGAAGGTACGTATACAGATGGCATATGAATATCACTATCCATAGTAGCCCTAAACTGGAAACAAATATCCATCAACAGTAGAATGGAGTTGGGGGTAGGGCATCATACAAAAGGTACTCCATAGCAAGGAGAACGAATGAACACAACTATAGCCAGCAGCATGCGTGAATCCACAAATAATTTTGAACAAAAGAAGATGGACATGAAAAGTGTACATAGTGTGTGATTCTAGTTAAGGTCTCAAATGAGCAAAATTAACCTTTAGTGTTTGAATCTAGGATGGTGGTTTGTTTGGGGGCAGAGGGAAGGAGTAGTGATTCGGAATGAACCAGAAGGAGTCTTCCGGAGTACTGTTACCTTCTGTTTCTTGACTTGGATGTTGGTGACATGGATGCTTTCACTTTGCCATAATTAAATAGCTGTACAATGTGTACTTTTCTGCACACGTGTTGTATTTTAATTAAAACGTTTAAGAAATCTCTTCCTCAGCTAATGTGTTTAAAATACGGGCAACAAGCGGCAAGTCTTAACTTCATTTCATACTTTGTCTCTTAAAGTTAGGGTTCTCTACCTATGGGAAGTCCTTCCAAATCATTAAATGATGATAGTGTCATGGTAATTTTTTTTAAAATGGAAATGAGCCCTTAGGAAGAGGTTGATGATATTTTAAAGAAAAAATGTTATTGAGATTTCACAATTTGGGCTAAAAAAAGGTGGGAGGGGTCAGTACTTGCTTTGCAGTAATAGTCAAACTCTGTAAGCTAATTTACTTCTCATTTTTTGAGCACATTTCAATACCAAATTGTTTACGTCATGGTGTTTAAAAATAGATCTTTCTCTTCTTTATTCCTCAATCCTACTTTTTCTTAATTTAATTATATGTAATGATTCATGTATGGTGAATTGTCTTCTCAATTTTTAAATCATATAGAAAATACTTTTTATTTGATAGCAGATTCTCAAATATCCAAGAACTTGTTTGATTTTTCTTTTATGGTTTTCATTCACTACCTAAATGTATTACTTTAAATAGAAAAAAAGAATAGAGCCTTGACTTTTCCTTTTTGTTTTTGTGGTTTATTCAGTGCTGTTGGGACATTCGCTCGAGCCCTTGATTGCAGCAGTTCTGTAAGGCAGCCTAGTTTGCATATGAGTGCGGCTGCAGCTTCTCGAGACATTACCCTGGTAAGACGCTTTTTGAAATTTTGGGGTTATTTCTTCTGCTACTTGTGTAATTTTACCATAAGAGCATTGTTGTAGACATAAGAGCTTTTTGGCTCTTAGCCTTGCTGACTGCAAGGTTGATTTGGCTTGGCATGTTGGTTAACTGGCGTGTCTAATTCTTAAGTTCTCTCTTGTGTTTGTGAGCTAAATAAGAATGACTATTCATGGCATAAGTACAAAATGGTAACAAATATTTTGGGGAACACAGTTTAACATTCACACCCATTTGTTTTCACTTCTGTGTTATTTTCATGCATTCTATCTATTACCTAAAGCATACATAATGCTTTACAGTTTTTTAAGTGTAAAAGATTTCACTTCTTGAAACCATTGTTATAGGAGTTATTCTTTTGTCATGACCTTTATTCAGTACCAGTATTTAAAGTTTTTGTGTCTGTTCATTAGAAAGAGGTTCTACTTTCTTACATTACTTCATTACATTTTGGCTGCCATCTTCTAAGACTATTTCTTTTTTCTGTTGGTGATCAAATAAAGCTGCCCGTATTCAGCTTAATTATACCACTAATGCCTAGCTGGGCATTGGGCTTGGCACTTGCTTCTCTCTCTGTGCCCTTCAGCAAAGTAGATCTGCAGGTTTTTTGCTGGTTGAAGTTAATTACTATATTCAGTTGCCACAACCCTTTGAGATAGATGGGCATGGTAGGTTGCTCATTTTATAGATAAAACTGAAGTTTGGTGAGGTTATTTGACCAATATTACATGTAATAAAAGTTTCAATTTTATTTTCTCATAGAATAGAATACAATGATAGATTTTATTACTTTCTCATTATATTCTAATTTAACATGCCTCCCACAAAATATCATAATAATGTAAAAATTCATACCGGAATGTACACCAAATTTGTTTCCTATAATGCTTTCTTGTATTTTTGTACATTTATAGATAGTGATGAAAGCCTTCATAGTCTTAGCCATTATGGAGTCTTTCTTTATCCTTTTTAAAGACTAGAATGTTGTTTATAGAAGCAAATTTTGTTCTCTTCACTGGTACAGTAATATTTCATATAAATGTTTAGGGATTTCAAAATAGGTTGTCTAAAACTTTTATTCTACCAAAGAAGCAAGAATATGGATAAACGTGTGTAAAAACCTTCAAAATCTTGTTGACAGATATTTATATGAACCAGAACTCCATGGAATGTAATCACCACCATATATATTTTTCTGTTCAAAAATATTTCATCCCCCCCCAAATTTTCCCAATTCTAAAATTAATGTATGCTTATAATGAAAAATTGAAAAATACAGTACAGCAGGAGCCAAAAAAAAGTTTTGTTCTCATTACCCAGAGTACAATATTCTTTACTGGCTGATTTTTAGCCATTTATTTTGCATTATAAACAATAATAGCAAATTACACAATAGGACAGAGGATAATGTAATAAAACTCCACATAACACCACCTAAAATAAATAGTTTAATTCTTTGCATTAAAATAATTTTCAACCATTAGGGTTAATGTTGAAGTCTCTAATATTTTCCCCCTAGTCCTATTCAGCCTCCTTCATCTGTACTTATGACCCTCACCACTCCTACCTCCTGTCAAGAGGTAGCCACTGTATTATTATATATACATAATACACATTATTATGTATAATAGTCTGTTTTTATAGTTTTACTATGTATTCATGTATCCACAAACAACATAATCATTTGTTTTGTGTGTGCTTAAATTTACTCTAACATTTTGCCATTTGCTTATTGAGATCTAGATATGTTAATAAATACATACCTAGTTCACTCATTTTAACTACTTTGTAGTATTTGTAGTATTTTATAGAATACTGTACCACATTATTTATGTTTTCTTTTACCAAGGAACATCTGAAGTGCTTTAAAAACATTTTTCTTTTGCTGCATTGAAATTTACAACACATTTCCCTTTGTACACATGCGTGTGAGCCTTTTCTAGGCTAGAACTACAATTGAAATAGTAATTCACATGATTCATAGGGCAGTCCTCATTTTGAAATTGACCACATGCAGCCAGATTTTTCTGGTTGAAATTTGTAATTTCACAAGTACTTAATGAGTGTTCTCCTTTCTCCATCCATTTTCTTATATTGTCTTCAACACTTGGTATTTTTAGACTTAACATTTTTACAAACTCGATGCTATCTCATTTTAATTTGTACTTACCTGATTACCTAGTGAGTTTAAGCATGTTTTCATATGTTTATAGCTCTTCAGTTTTTTTCTTCTTTGTAATTTGGATTTATATCCTTTGTCTGATCTTCACTTGCAATATTATTCTATTTTTTTTTAGTTTTAACATTTTATACATATTTAAGACTGTAAGTATATCTAGTTTATTTTTAAGAATAAAGTTGGGGGTCTAACATTTTTTCCATATGGAAAATTAATCATCCCACCACCTTTTATTAAATTTGTTGTTTCCTCATGATTTTGTAATGCCTCTTCTATCTTATTTCAAGGTCCTAGATATGCTTAGATCTGCTTCTGGATTCCTAATCTGTTCTTTTTATTGACCTATATATCTTGTCCCTGCACAAGCACCACGTTATAATAAATTATGATAACTGATAAGACCTTAAGTCCCATGTGAACTCTGTTTTGAACACAAAGTCATTTAGAACAGTCTTCTATTCTGCCTCAACCCCCCCCCCCCATATTTCCCTAACACTATAACATAAACACTATTATAAGAACCTGGAAAGTTTTTTTTTCTAATGTTGCATGATCTTGTCTTGTATAGCTATACGGTTATTTAGGAAGCCCAGTCTCTTGTGGTTTAACATTGTTCTTATGAGATAATGCTTCCCAGATTATAACGGGGGATACTATCCCTGTCATAGCACAGCAGATTCTCTCTATTTTGTCTGAGGACCGAGAGTGGAAAGTCATGTCTTGAGGTGGTACAAAGCTCTTAGAACAGTTGAGACTGATTTGCCTGAAGATGTGTCTGCCAGGTGAGCAGCAGGTGTATGGACTCTTGGCTTGCAGGTGCAGTAACTCTGCTTCTCACTGCTGGTGACTGGTGGGACAGCAGACGAATTTCTTTTGGAAGAGGACAGTTTTCAAGATTCGGTAACTGTCTCTGTCAATGAAGGCCATGTATAAAAGAAGCATTTTAAAGAAGACACAACCTATATACCTTAATTACTTTAAATATCATTTGGGTGTATCTTTTACAATACATGGTTATTATGCTCCTTCTAGGCAGGTGCTTTCAGATCCTCCAGTGTTTTTATCTCTTCTGTTTGGTTTCCTTTAGTATTTAGCAATTTGGAGGTCACTTTTATATTACATCTATTATCTTAAATTATTTATTACTATAATTGTTATCTTTTTAAGCAGAAGTGTACTCAGAGTCTCAGGAAATTGTATTTTGGCATGTTTGTACAGCTGGTTTCGGAGACAGGGTTTGGATCTGTTCTTGACTCCTGCTGGGGAGTCCTGTCTACCAGATTACCTGTTCTGTCTCATTCTCATTAAAATGGCGTGGCTTTAAATGTTCTTGTCTGCCTTGGATTAGGCAGCACTGAAGAAGATCTGCTCTTTTGTCTACAACATGTAAATTCCCTGGTTTCCTGCTCTAACTACTCTAGATTCAGCTTTACTCAGACTCTTTTTGTATGTTGTTATTGTGTTGACATATTTTTAGTGCCATAATTGACATCTCTTAGAAGTTGTGAAAGCAGGAAGAAATCAATGCCCTTTGTTATATTAGATGCCATGACTTCCACCTTTAATCCTGTTTTCCTAGTGGTATGCTTTCCACTTTGTTGTTAAAATATAAGATCCTGAGGCATTTCTATAAAAATGAGTGGGAGTGGTTAAAATTGATTATTAATATGTTGAGAATATAAGTTTTGTAGATTGTTTCCCAAAAAGAACTTGTGAAAGGCTGATAAGTTCTTTTGTACCATTAAATGAAAATGGTTTCATCATTCAGCTGAATTTGGAAAGTCAAGTTCTTATTTTTCCTACAGTGTTTGCATTCCTGTAACATATCAGGTTAGTATTTTTTTTTTTTTTCCAATACGGTAACCGCACTGTGGATCTGAAGACCTCCCACTGCAGAGATGCCTCGTTCGGAAACTGTGGGAACCTGAGTAGCCTGTTCTAGGTGATTTTCTTTGTGACTTTTCCATGAGGACTGTAATTGGGCTTTCAGCATCCCTAATCCGACACATTCATTTATACGTGACAGTCAATATATGCCACTTGTCAAATCACCAGTCATATTTTGACAGTAGGTAATTAAGCTGCCTGCTGATCACTAGATCTAACTTCCTCATTTTGAGATCCGGGACGAACATAGCTGGACTGTGAATTTCAAACACTGCTAGTCTAAGATATGTAATAAGATTTATAATTATTAGTACATTGAAACCATGGAGGCTTCATAGATTTCACCCTTGTTTCATTAAAAGGTATACTTTGTATAATATGCAAAGAAAAAGTCAGTTTACAACAATACCTGCATTGACCTTTCCTCCTCCCCGCGCCACCCCCCCCACCCCACCCCCGCCCTTCCTTTGTGGAAACAAAATTCTTTAGAACAAACTAATCCCTGTGGTGGTTAGTAAGTAGTAGTTGGTGGATACTCTAGCTTATTAACTTCCTGTTTGTTGTCTGCACCCTTGTGGCCGGAGGGACGGAGTGCCCATGTACATTGTTAGGGAGCTGTTGCGGAAGCAAAGCCTCAGTCTCTGAGAATAGGTAATTATATTGGTACTGCATTTCTCTTTTGCCTAGACTCTGAGGACTAAAGCACATTGGAGATTAAGATCCTAAGAAAAGAGCTTTTTGAGTTGTTTAGGGCTTTCAAAATCTCCCGTTTTAGACTATTTTAGAAATAATGGTAAAGTAACTTACATTTAGACTCACATTTAATTAGTGACAGAATCAGAACTAGAAATTTAGGCTTCCTGATGCTGAGTCTGGTTCTGAGAAAGGTCAAGCTGTGTTGAT